AATGCATTCAATGTAGAATCTGTGAAGTTCCGTCTTTCAGATGACCCTAGGTTTGTGTCAGGCTGACTGACCAGCACAACACCAGAACTTGGCTTTGACGACTTACTTCATGCTTTCCTTCTTTTTTCCCTTTCTTTTCCACCACCCCAATTACCTTGAATATATTGCTATAGTCGTTTTTGTTTCTTTATTTTTAAATATTTATCTAAAGAATCTCAATTTTGTAGCTCTGACTGACCCCTCTAATGGCGGATTATAGGGCTCATGTGTCTTAGTTTGGTTTCTGTTGCTATCTGTGATAAAAGCATGACCCCAAAGCACCTTAGGGAGGAAAGGCTTTGTTATCTTACAGAACCTCGTGAAGGGAATTCAGGGCAGGAACCTGGAGGCAGGAACTGAGGCGGAGACCGTGCGGGAGCACTGCTTACTGGTTTGCTCCTTAGGGCTGGCCTTCCATAGCTTGCTCAGCCTGCTTTCTTATACAACCCAATGCTACCTATCCAGAGGTGGGGCCACCCACAGTGACCCAGACACAACAGTCAGTAATCAAGAAAATGCTCTGCAGACTTGCCTACAGGTGATCTGATGAAGGCATTTCTCTGTCGAGATCAGGTGTATCTAAGTTTGTGTCAAGTTGATAAAAACCACGAGCACAAGGTATGAGTCTACACCACAAATGACTAAATATGCCTGTAAATCCTTGTGCACTTTCTCCATTAGCTGGATAGTATTGTGTATCTTAATTGGATTTTTCCCTTCAAATTCGGATAAATGTTCTTTTTTGAGGGGCATGCCTTATAAGTCTGATTGAAGGCTAGATATTGTACATAAAAAATATAGCAACTCGAGATGATGTTAACACTGTCTGGAAGATTTCTTGCAGTATTCGGGGGTTGAGCTGTGCCAGGACTTGCCTGTTGTTTTGGAACTGCCTGGTGAGCCCCCTGGTTTACCATTTCCAGGTTCATATTCACACTCAAGATGACTTCTTTTGAATTCCCAACTTAATGAGGAGAGCCACACTGTACTTCTTACTTTGGGCTGGTCAATTTACCATTTCTTAGCAACTGTTCCATGTGTTCAGAGTGGTTTTCTGAACATTAAACCAGCATTTTTAGGTCATTTTCCTTTAAGTTGTCAGTTCTTTCTATATTTATTTGACTATTTTCGTTATATTGGAATATTTTTAATGTTATGGACCAAAGCAGACTATCTTTTGTTTAACACACTGATTGTGTGGTGGGGTGCACATGTACCATGGTATACATGGAGACAGAGCAGCTGGTGGGGGTCTATCTTCCCCTCCTCTGTGTGGGTCTCCTCCAGGAGGTGAGCCTCCCCGAGCCTTCTCAGCAGCCCCAGACTGTCTTTCTACCACCTTAAGTTCTTGTTCAGGACTGGAAAGGGTTTGGGGGAGGATTATAATATTATTACATCATTTTCCTCTTTTTTTCCCTGTAAACTTTCCCATGTACTCACCTTGATCTCTCTCGAATTCATGGCCTCTTTTTTTCTTTAATTGTTGAAGTGGAGAACCAGTTGTTATTAGATCAGGAATCAGCAGTTGTAGCCAGTCTGTCTTGTTACTAAAGTTTTTTCTTGGGTCACAGCCATCTATTCAAATAGTCATTATGGATCACTATTTTCATATTTTACCAGCAGAACTGATTAGATGTGCTAACCTAAATTATTTATCGTCTTCCTTAGTTAGGATTTCTGCTGCCATGATGAAACTGTGGCCAAAAGCTGCTTGGGGAAGACGGGGCTTATTTTACCTCCCTCTCATAGGAGGGCAGCCAGGGTGCAGGGGTGGGGAGGCGTGGCCTGGGACAAGAGCAAAGGACACTGCTGGCTCTTCATGCTGGCTGGCTCAGCCTGCTTTCTTACTGCACTGGGACTATCAGCCCAGGGTGCCCTGTGCACAGGGAGCTGGGCTCGCCCATATCAGTCATCAGTCAAGACAATGCACCACAAGGTGGCCAGCCTGATGGCATTTTCTCAGCTGAGGTCCTCTTCCCAAATGACTCTAGCTTCCAGCTTGTGTCAAGGAGACATAAAAGTAGCCAACCCACCATCTTAGTACTTCAGTCACAAGTTAACCAGTCCCTGAATTAGACCATCCTTTGTTCATTGATGTGAGTTGAACTTTTTTCTGTTTCTGTAGTCATTTGACACGTTTCCATAGTATCACTTTATTTTAGCTGTCTACTGCTTACTGTATTTTGTTGACCTTTTAGGACTTACATGGTGCATATATCAAATTACACAGATCTCTACACATAACAAATTGGAAACAAAGGTAAACCTTCCAAGCATGGTAGCACACACTTTTAATCCCACCATTTGGGAGACAGAGACAAGTGTATGTCTTGAGTTTGAGGCCAGCCTGGTCTATAGAACTGAGTTTCAGAACAGCCAAGGTTGTCTCAAAAAACAAACTGAGTGTGTGAGGGGGGAGGGATTCCCTCACAAACATGCCCAGCAGCTTGGGTTTTTGTTGATTACAGTTGTAGTCAAGTTGACAGCCAAGATTAACTGACACAGCCTCATCTCCCTACCTTCGAATGGTCTTTATTCAAATGTGACCTTTTCAGTCAACCAGTCCCCACCCACCCGAAAGTTTTTGTTGATTGTCCCTGGGTCCATGCCCCCCCCCCAACAGGGCTTCTCTGTATTACTTTGGAGGCTGTCCTGGAATTTGCTGGGATTAAAGGCGCATGCCACCAACACCCGGCTCCCACCTAAGGTTTTAATCCATTTCCCTGCCAAGCCTCTGATTCTCTTCCCTGCTTGATGTTCTTCTCACAACACTACTGTCATAACATAATAGCTCATCTATTGGAAGGCGTAGTTGGCTTCACTTTATTAAAATGAAGCATATTCGTGTATTTATTTTGTTAATTTGTCTTATTTCCATTGCCCAGCACAACCCTCCACAAGTTAACGTCTCAGTAAGTCATTGCTGAAGTAATGACTCTTCATGTATTTAACATTTTCATCTCTTAAAGTGGAACTCCTAGGTCAAAGGGATAAATGACTTTTTCCCTGCGGTACTAGGCATTGTGCTCTGCTACTGACCTATATACCCAGCCCAAGGATGACTTTTTAATAGTTTTGTGTACCTTTTGTCATATAACCTGGTTATTGTTTTGACTTTATTGTTTTTACCAAATATCTTATATGTGGTCTAACTATCAAATGTTATAGAATGGCTTATGTTATAGCCAAGCATTAGAGTACATGTCTGTAATCACACTACTTGGAGGGCAGAGGTAGGAAGACTGTTGAAAATTTGAGGCCAGTCAGATCTACAGAGTAAGGGTTCTGGGTCAGCCAGAGCTATTTAGTAAAATCTTGTCTCAAAAACAGTCAAAAAGGAGGGTTATATTCAAAAGCATTTTCCCACTCTTGTGTTCAAGAATTCCATTCCTCTACTCAGAAGCAGTTGGTTTTGTTAGTTTCTTGACTTTCAGAGCTATTGCTCTATGGCTAAGCTGACACCACTCTACTTATACAGTTATGTCTCCCATTATGGTCCCTGTTTCCTCCAGTATATGTAGAAAGTACTGTACAGTGATGTCTGCCCAGTACAGCCCTTTTTCCTTTTCTGAGCACTGCTCAGCCCTCCTCAGGAGCCAGTGCTGATTTTTTTTTTTTTTTTTTTTTTTTTTTTTTGGTTTTTTGAGACAGGGTTTCTCTGTGGCTTTGGAGGCTGTCCTGGAACTCGCTCTGTAGACTAGGCTGGCCTCGAACTCACAGAGATCTGCCTGCCTCTGTCTCCCGAGTGCTGGAATTAAAGGCGTGCGCCACCAACGCCCAGCTAAGTGCTGATCATTTTTTAGTGAACTTTGCTATAGTTAACTGCAGAAGAAATGGTAATGAAATATTTTACCTGTGTCCTTGAAACTAAAAATTGAGATGAGAATTGGAAATGAGAAAACATCCACACTTAAAGGAACACAGGCTTTTTAAAAAATCAGGATGCTACATATATGTCAGGAAACACTGAAAAATATTGAGTAAGGAACAGATCACAAATGGAGTGAGAATTAGTTTATCAAGCAGGGAGTGGGGACGGCCATTGAGGGAGACTTGGGAGGGGAGAGTGGGGACGGCCATTAAGGGAGACGTGGGAGGGGTGTGCTGCTTGGCTAGTGAGGAGTGTGGGAACAAAGGAGTTCATTGCGCTTCTTTTTGCTCAGATTCACCGGTGATTAAGAGAGATCACAAGCAGTTGGAGAAACTAAAACCATTTTTATAGGGAAAGTGGACTTTTAAAGATAATGAAGCTTTTTAGTAGGCATGAGTAACTAGGTGACGCTTAGTATAGGGGTCAGTAAGATATATCACAGAATGTTTTTGAATGAATATTTTATTAGGGTATGAGCATGTCATTTATTTATGTACTGGCATGGCTATATTCATGCTAAGGAGTGGGACTGAAAAACTGAGATGGGGTGGCAAGCTGGAGGGATGGCTCACCAGCTAAGAGCACTGGCTGCTCTTTCAGAGGACCTGGGTTTGATTCCCAGCACCCACATAGCAGCTCACAACTGTCTGTAACTCCAGTTCCAGAAGATCTGACACCCTTTTCTGGCCTCCAAGGTCAGTGCACACACATGGTGCACAGACAGACATGTAGGTAAAACACTGGTACACATAAAATAAAAATAAACTTTTTCAAGTTGAGATAAACCATATGGCTTACAATAGCTAAAATATTTATTTACTCTTGGCTCTTCACAGAGAATTAGCTGCTCCCTGTAGGTAGATTCTATTTAAGGAGGAAAGCATTACTGATGACTAGTGAAGAATGAAAGCAGATATTCTTGTGGGGGCACTTAGCTATAGGAAGAGTGGCTAGCTGACGAGATTAGCCTTGAAGGAATATATTGGAGAGACAGAGAGGAAGTGAAGGCCATTCTGCCAGGACAGCTGTAATTCAGTAATGTGTAAAGGTGGCTTATCCTTAATTGTGTTTTTCTGATTTCCCTCACCAGCCAAGAAGGATCAAGAAGGTGGAGAAGAAAAGAAATCTGTACAAAAGAAGAAAGTAAAAGAGCTAAAAGTGTTGGACTCAAAGACAGCCCAGAATCTCTGTGAGTAGGTCTTGCGAAGGTGTTCCCATAAGAATGTAATTTCTCTTGAGTCTAAGGTCCCTCTGTGTGAAACCTCCTATTAAATTCCTGCTCTGTGCCAGCCAGTGCATGGTGAGGCTTCATTCAGTGTCTCATCAAATCCTTCAGTAGCACAGCAGGGTTGACAGGTGTCCCGCTTTACGTCAAGGAAACAGGCAAAGGCTTTTGGAATGTGTCTGGTTATAGAGCTAAGAGGATGCAGGTGCCAGGTTTTATCTCACTGAGGGTTGGGGAGGGTTGAGATGTGATCTTGGTACGTAGCTTGGCTGTCTTTGGGCTGACAGCCCTCATCCTTGAGCCTCTGAGTGCTGGGGTTATAGGTGGACACCACCATGTCTGCCACACTTCTTTCAAAGTCCTGCTTTTCCTTATGTCAGCAGGAAGTCTTCCCCAGGATTTCAGCCTCAGTGCATTTCTTTCTGTTTTCTGAGAAGGAATGCAGCTACTGTTGTGGCTTCAGTTAAACAAATTATTTATATTTAGAATGTAAATGTAAGTGAGGTAAATCTTGTGCTTGTCAGAGTAGATCAATAACCTCAGAAAGTTAAGCATTTGGTACCATATTGCTGCTGTTCTGATTTGCCACCGGGACTGAGAACTCCAATTAGTGAAAAAAATTCAGTTGAGAGAGCCTTCCACAGTTCACTTGAGCATGTCACACACATTGATGTAGTTCCTGCCTGAGCGTGGTCAGGATCAGCTTACCCTTCTGCTTGTTCATTTCAGCTAGCAATCTGCACCTCTTTTATGCTGAGTAATACAATACTCATTTTTTTGGTCAACAAATATTTGGGAGTCTGGCATGTGACCAGGCTTTATTAGGTATATGCTGGTCATGTGTTGTATAAATGAAAGAATATATATTCTGTAAACTCATTCATAATCTTATAGTTACTGTCTTTATTTTTCCACATGAGAAAACTAAAGTTCAAATGTTAAGACTTGTCTAAAATCATCCAAACTAGTATACATACCCAAAGGTACATTCAGAGTGATAGAGTAAGAGATTAAATCTTTGCCCTGGGAGGTCAGAGGCAGATGGATCTCTGTGAGTTCGAGGCCAGCCAGGTCTACAGAGCTAGCTCCAAGTCAGCCAGTGCTACATAGACCCTGTTACAAAAAGCAAACTAAAATTTCACACTAAGAATTAAGTAATGCTCCATAAGTGTGTATGTCCTTCCCACAGGGGACCATGCTGATCATTCCAGTTGTAGTGTATGCTTCAGAGCTTGACCATATAACCTTATGTTAATATTCATAAATATTGCTAAATGAAAGTCTGTGTATGATGTCGTTTGGTTGGTTTGGTTTAGTTTTTTTGGAAAGGGCTTCTCTATGTAGCCCTGGCTGTTCAGGAACTCGCTTTATAGACAGGATGGCCTCGAACTCAGAGATCCACTTGTCTCTGCCTCCTGAATGCTGGGATTAAAGGCATGAGCCCATGTGCATGAGAACTGCAGATCATTACAGCTCTGGAAGTTACTGAGGAGATTTTAATCAGGAAGGTGACTGTTACAGCCTCATGCTGTCTTTGGGAAGGCTGGCTGCTTTGGCAGGTGATTTTCAGGTTCAGGTTCAGAGTAGAAGAGTAGGAAGGAAGATGAGCTGTTTTAAACTAAGGAGTTGATCAGGACCTAAGACTAAGGTGATAGCAGGACAGAAAGACAGACTTCCTGGGACTTGGTGGGTGAGGAGATGAAGGACAGTGACACTTGAGTGAAGGGGGAAACCAGTACACTGAATAAGGCAAGTTCATCAAGAACAGAGTGGCTCGTAGATTTGAGTCGGGGGTGACTTTTTTTTTTTTTTTTTTTTTTTTTTTGGTTTTTACGAGACAGGGTTTCTCTGTATTGTTTTCGAGGCTGTCAGTCCATCCCAGCCTCGTACTCACAGAGATCCGCCTGCCTCTGCCTCCCAAGTGCTGGGATTAAAGGCGTGCGCCACCACTGCCCGGCAAGTCGAGTGACTTTTGAGATAGGACCTTTCATAGAGTGCACTCACTGACTGCTGCCTTTTCATTGGCTTTGTGAGGATATAATGGATGAAAGTTCTAATAGTGAAAAAAATAGATTACTATGTCTTCAGAATGCTGTAAAGGAAAGGGAGCAGATGTTGGTAAGAGAAGGGAACATGGAGTCAAAGATTTTTATAATAGACTTGACTGCATATGCTAAAGGAAAAGGGTGTCAGGGTCTCCTTAAGGGCCGGATATGGTGACACACACTTTTTTTTTAAATTCCAGATGAAATTATTTTTTTAATTTAACTTTTTACACATCACTCTCAGTTCCCTCTCCCTCCCTTCCTCCCCTGATCCCCCATTCCTCCCAACCCCCCACCCCACTCCATCCACCTTTAATCCCAGCACCCAGGAGGCAGGTCTCTGGGTTCGAGGGCCAGGCTGATCTACAGAGTGAGTTTCCAGGACAGCCAGGGCTACAAAGGGTCAGATGGAGAAGCCAGGGTGGGTCATCAAGAGAAAGAGTTGCTTTTATAGACTTTATTCGGTGTGTTTTACCTGCATGTATGTATGTATGTATGTGTACCTAGATCCCGAGGAGGCCTGAAGACAACGCTGGGTCTGTAGGAACTGGTGTTATAGATAGTTGTGAGCTGTAACATAAATGGTGGGAACTAACTCAGGCCCCCTGCTAGAGCAGCCAGTGCTCTTAACCACTGAGCCACCTCTCCAGCCAGAGAAGACTCTTGATAGACTGAGGCATCAGATTAGGACATGGGGAAACTGGAAGGATAGGGTGTGCTTCTTAGGAGTGGAACTTGGCTGTGGCTGTGTTAAGGCAGTGCAGGTGAGTGGTTCTGATATTCCCGTTACCACAGGCACGGAGCTTATCAAATGTGCTAGGCAGTAGAGTTGCTGTGTGCCGTGGTGTGGCTTGTGTGTGGCAGTGGGTGACAGTGGAAACTCAAACACTGGACTCGGTTCTGATTTCAACTACCTAGGAGAGTGGGCTTTCAGGATGGTCTGGAATAGGGAAGAAGATGAGAAGAGCCTGTCTTTCTGTCTCGTTCTCTGACAGCGATCTTTTTGGGCTCCTTCCGCATGCCCTATCAAGAGATTAAGAGTGTTATCCTGGAGGTGAATGAGGCTGTTCTCACGGAATCTATGATCCAGGTAAGCACAAAGAGGCTCTGCCGAGCCGGCTCCTCTGCACGGCTGCAGCAGCCTCGCCTCCTCTCTTGGTGAGCAGGGCCTCCTTCAAGCGGTTTTGACTGAAAGGGCTGCTGAAGAAGCTGCTGTGTCCCCAGTGGGCAGAGCACCTCAGAAGACTCAGGAACCCCCCATCTCACAAGCTGCCCCGCCCCGCCTGTCTTCCTTCATTATCACTGGGCAGAGTGTCATTTAGAGTCACAGTCATGATGCTCAGGCTGTCAGCTCACCCCACATGCAGCATTTACTCTCTTTTCCAGAACCTCATTAAACAGATGCCAGAACCAGAGCAGTTAAAAATGCTTTCTGAAATGAAGGACGAGTATGATGATCTGGCTGAGTCAGAGCAGTTTGGCGTGGTGGTGAGTGAGGCCTGTAGCAGTCGGCTCTTTTCCAACTCCCTTATTCCTACCTCTGGAGACCAGCCTGGTGGCTTGCTCCTTGCCTCTGCTGTTCTGAACCTTTTAAGTTAATCAGTTTCTCTGTCTCCCCACCTCACACCTTTGCTCTGAAGCTCCAGTCTCCCCAGGAGGCCGGCCTGTATCTTTTGATGTCTCTCTCCATTGACTCCATAACGGATCTTGTTGCCTTCCTCACCAGATGGGCACAGTGCCCCGTCTTCGGCCTCGCCTCAACGCCATTCTCTTCAAGCTGCAATTCAGTGAGCAAGTTGAGAATATCAAGCCAGAGATTGTGTCTGTCACTGCTGCGTGTGAGGAGCTGCGTAAGAGCGAGAGCTTCTCCAGCCTCCTGGAGATCACACTGCTTGTTGGGAATTACATGAATGCTGGCTCCAGGAATGCTGGTGCTTTTGGCTTTAATATCAGCTTCCTCTGTAAGGTGAACCATGGGCTTAGACAAGAGGACAGAGGGAAGGCTACCTTGAGCCCCGTATTGCCTTAAGCTCATTTGGGACAAGTCATGACTAACGGTTTCTCCTTTTACCCCAAGCTCCGAGACACCAAGTCTGCAGATCAAAAGATGACTCTATTGCATTTTCTGGCTGAGTTATGTGAGAATGACTACCCTGATGTCCTCAAGTTTCCTGATGAGCTTGCCCATGTAGAGAAAGCCAGCCGAGGTAAGGCAGTGTAGGGCAAAGCTAGAAGGTGCTTCTGGGCCAGCAAGATGGCTCAGTGGGTAAAGATGCTTGCTGCCAAATCTTCCAACCTGAATTCAGTCCCTTGGACCAACATAGTGGAAGGAGAAAACCAACTTTCACAAGTGGTCCTCTGACCTAAGTGCATGGGAGCGCGCGCGCGCGCGCGCACACACACACACACACACACACACACACACACACACACACGTGTGCTGGAAAGGCAGGTGCTTTCAGTCTAGGTCCACAGCTTTTGTCGTTCTGAAAGACAGACTGGATTAACAAGCAGTGGGCCTCATGGCTTGGGAAATAGACAAAACACTGGGTTGTCTACCCTGCTCCCAGGTTCCTACCTACATCTCCTACTTCTGAAACCCTGTTCCCCGAAATAAATGAGACCAAGGTCTCAGGGGATCCCATGGGTTCTTTTTAAAATGAAATGAGTCTGCTTCTGTTAGTATTGTACAGTGTATGAAGGTTGGAAGTTTAGTTAGCCAGTAATTGTGCTTTTGCTGCAAAGATCAAAACCAGCGTGTGAATCAGAGAGAGGAGCATGTGTAGGCTAGGAAGCATACACAGAGAAAACGGGAAGCGTGTAAGCAGTGAGGCAGGAGCGCTCTCGATGGCTAGTAAGGGCTTTGTTCTCCCTGTAGTTTCTGCTGAGAACTTGCAGAAGAACTTAGACCACATGAAGAAACAGATCGCTGATGTGGAACGTGATGTTCAGAATTTCCCAGCTGCCACAGACGAAAAGGACAAGTTTGTTGAGAAAATGACTATATCCTTTCTTTAGAGGACTTGATCCCTGGGCAGGGAAAATCTTCTCTGGGGAGTAGAATAGATGATGGCAATATTCAGTTTTCACCTTTGAATTGTTTTTTCCACTAAATACACAATTTTTAAACTTACTGTAGAAGGAAAACAAATCTTGCAGATAAACTACAAATCTCTGAGTACCTATTCTGTGCCCCATTCCTGTTATAAACATAGCCACCTTCACTAAAAGCCCCTGAGTCTGTGCCCATGGCTGTCACAGACACACCCTTCCACCGCTACTTTGTGCATCATGTAGCTTTATCTGCATGTGTCTCAGTCTTGTGCTCTAGTAGTTTGCAACTTGTATTGTATAGGTAGCCATAGCTTTTGGTTTGTCCCTCTGAAGAATTGGAGTGCTTCTGGTCGGTCATGAGCAGCCGTCTGTGGTGGTCACTGCACAGCCCACTCTTCATCTTTGAGTGGTCCTCTGTGGTGGTCACTGCACAGCCCACTCTTCATCTTTGAGTGGTCCTCTGTGGTGGTCACTGCACAGCCCACTCTTCATCTTTGAGTGGTCCTCTGTGGTGGTCACTGCACAGCCCACTCTTCATCTTTGAGTGGTTCTCTGGCTTTGGTTGTGTCCTTTACTCCTGGCTGCACAGTTTTGTGAAGGACGCACAGGAACAGTATAACAAGCTACGCATGATGCACTCCAACATGGAGACTCTGTATAAGGAGCTGGGTGACTACTTCATCTTTGACCCTAAAAAGTTGTCTGTGGAAGAATTCTTTATGGATCTGCACAATTTTAGGAATATGTTCTTGGTGAGCAAGGGTGAACTGCAAGTTTTTCATGGGTTCCTGATGGTTACTGGTGGCTTTACATGTGCTCACACATCCATCCCCCTCCCCAAACTGTGCTTCAGCAAGCAGTTAAGGAGAATCAGAAGCGCCGAGAAACAGAGGAAAAGATGCGGAGAGCAAAATTAGCCAAGGAGAAGGCAGAAAAGGAGCGACTGGAGAAACAGCAGAAGCGAGAGCAGCTCATAGACATGAATGCAGGTGGGAATGTGAGGGGACATTGGAAGGCATCTCTGTCTAGAACCTGGAACGACACAGGGTAGATCCCGTCTAAATGTAGCTCCTGGAAAATGGTTTCTGACAACCTTCTGCCTCCAAGCTCCTGGTGCTGGATTTTAATTTTTTTCTCTCCTTTGCTGGCTCTTGGATTATGTCTCATTGCCCTTGTGATTTGGGAATTGCTGTCACACCTACTCTTTCCTGACCTGTTCTCATTCCTGCTGCTTTTGAGTTCCCAAAATGTTTCCCTGACTCCCCTTCTTGTAGTAGCTCTCCTTTCTCTGTCTCTGCACTTCTCCAGCACTGTGTTCCTGCTACCTCTTAGCGTGCTGTGTGTGCATCTGAGGTCATAAATGGATTGAACTCCGGAAGGGGGTGAAAAGCCGGCCTCTCTTTCTGCAGCAGAAACATGTCTTTGTTTGAGCATATGGTCTCAATTACTGGCCCTCTGTTTCCTGTCCCTGCTTTTTTCCTGTGGAGGATTCCCTGCCCCCCACTACTCCTGTGGGCAGCGGAAATACAGTATATACAGCAAATGCAGCACATGGCCCTGTGCTGCTCTGAAGTAAGGGGTTCTCGGGGTTGACAAGTTTTAAAAATTTGCTGAGCACAAACAGTAGAAACTAACAAGATTTGAGCCCAGAGACCTTCAGAGTAGTTCCTCAGTTTTTTTTTAAGCAAACAACTTTGTTTGGGTAGCACTGTTAAAATTCATACCAAGTATACATCACTTCCTTCCCTGTTCTCCCTGGGCCTCCAGGACTTTTCCCCTTCTGTATTGTGTAGGGCCAGGGAGAACAGGGATCAAGGTAGAGTCCCAAATAGCATTTGGGGTAAGGGCTATAGCCCAGCCAGCAGGTGGCGTAGTGGACCTTACCCTATTCTGGGTCAAGCAAATGAAATTCAATGTAGGTCAGCTGCATTGGTGATGTTCAGACAGCAGGTGGCGCTGGCAGTCATGAGCCCTAGCCTTTAGCTAGTAGCCAACCAGCTCCTTGGGATTTCAGTTTCAGATTTCACTATCCTGAGCTGTTGCCATGGAAACTGAGCCTGGCTAGAAGTAGGATTCTACATTAACTCCTTGCATTCCAGCCAGGCTGCTTTCAGCTTTTACATGCAGAACTGTCTTAAGAAAGATGCAACCACTGTAAACAGTTATATGAAATACAGTCTTGACCAGTGGATCCTCTTCCTTAACCCTCCTCTGAAGCCTAAGCCCTCAGTATTTCATGCAAACTGGAGAGAAACACTGGGACTGATAACAGTTCCAATAGTTGTTTTGTCCGTCCGTCTGGTCCCCCCCCACACACACACACACAAGTCTTCCTATATAGCTCAGGCCAGCCCCAGATTCACATGTTCCTGCTTCCACTTCCCAAATACTGGGATTACAGGCATAATCGCCTTCCCTGGCATAGCTGCCTTGGTTTATACCTGTGGTCTCTGCTTACTCAGGTCTTGGAGCTTGACAGTCCTGGGAGTCTGTGTGCTGTCCTGACAAATGCAATGAATAATTCCTCAGGGTTTGCACCAACAGACAGTTCTCAGGGATTTTTAAACACAACACAAGTAAATGGTCTGTGAGACTTGAGAGTTTGAGCCCTTCTTGTCTGTTTTGAGCTGTCAGCCAGGAGGAGGGAGGGAAAGCCATGTAGCAGCCATGTATTTCATGTACAGATTGATATTTGCTGTTGGTCTGGCTGAAGGATTTACGCCTCTGTCTTTGTTCATGACAGAGGGAGATGAGACAGGAGTGATGGACAGTCTTCTAGAAGCTCTGCAGTCAGGGGCAGCATTCCGACGAAAGAGAGGGCCCCGTCAAGGTAAGTAAACAATTGGAACCCAATTGGGTGTTGGAGGGGGTGAGGGGTCTCTCCTCCCGATCATACTAGTAGGGGGGGGCTGAAGACCAGAGTGATGTTGCAGGGTTTAGAAACTTCCCATTGCCATGCACTAAGAATGGATTATCTAGGCCTCTTCCTCCCACATTAGGAAGTCCTCACTAGGACCCTTTGGAGGCCTAGATGTGATGGCTTCTTTCTGTCAGAGGGTAAGAGCTACAGCAGAAGCATCTTAGTGCAGAGGTAAAGCCTGGCCCCACTTTGCTGGAGCTTTGTAGACACTTTGGATACGAGCTTCACTGGGAACCCGCTATCGAGACCTGGCGGGATCCAGTGATGTCTCTGGGACCTGTGGTGCTGGACACATTGGAAGGATGCAGATTGTACTAACCCATATAAACTCGGTGTCCTGGCTGGAATGGTTTACTGAGTACAGGGTCTCCAAAGGGAGAGGAAGTGGGAATGAAGAGCATAGAACTCTGACTAGGCATCCTGTGTTACAGATAGCCCTTTGTATGGAGAGTGCAGCTAACAGTGCTCCTTTGATGCTTGGTTTTTGGTTGTCACAGCACTGTTTCCTGCCCACCAGAAGTAGCCTGCATCTCACTGCGCTGTCTTCCATGACCTTATTAGCTGAGGCCAGCCTGCTTCAGACTTTGGTGGGGAATTCCCTTTGCAGCGTTTCCCTGAGGAATTGTGCTAGAGACCCAGATGCTTCCTGCACAAGCAGCCAGGCATCAGTGACTTCCCTGTACTGGGGATGCTTTCCTCGTGAAAAACCAGGATTTGCTTGTGAAGAAAAAAAGGATTTTTGTCATAACTACATTTTCAGTAGAGAATCTGAGTTAGTCAGAGTACAGTCTCCCAGTTAGGAAGACAATTCTAGAGGACTTAGAGGAAATGCTGAAATTAAGAAGTTGAAAACAGTCAATACTGCATAGTTTAAGTCAGCTCCAGCTTATAATCTTTTCTTTCTGATGAGGGTTACTAAGCTCACCAAACAGCTGGGAGGCTCTCTAAGACAATTGTAGTGACTCTGTGAGCTTTTTAGACTTGGGTACTTCTACATCATCTAAAGGTGTGACTTCTAATCAGACATAACAGAAAGCAGCATCAGAGTGGCTTGCCAACGAGCTAGGGTCTTTTCTTCAAAGAAAAGGCTGGAGTTTTGAAGGTCCCGTTCTCAAAGTACAGAGGCTCCAGGGGTCACAAGCTCCCTCCAGGGCTGCTGGACCCAGCTGATACACTCTTTGTCTGGCTACCTCTTGACTGGCCTCATGACCAGTGGTTCTCAACCTTCCTAATGCTGCGACCCTTTAACATGGTTCCTCATGTGGTGATGACCCCAAACCTAAAGTTATTTTGCTGCTGCTTCATAATTGCTGTTTTGCTAATGTTATAAATTGTAAGTATCTGACATGCAGGGTATCTGACATGTGACCACCAACTGGGTTAAAACCCACAGGTTGAGAACCACTGCTCATGACCAAGTGCTGGGGACCAAAGAACCAGAAAAGTATCATGCTTGTCTGCCTCACAGTCTTTCCATTCCCAGAGACAGCTGTCTCCATTCAAAGACATTGACTTTTCCCCAGAGCCTCCAGGAATGGTAAAATCTCCCAGTCTCCAGAGACATGAAGGAGTGGTCTGTATACAAAGGCCCAGTCAGGAGCTGGAAGAGGAGACCTCCTCCTATCAGGGCCGGGTCATTAAAAGTAGCGGTGACTTGTATGGTCTGCAGGGTGTGGAGAACAATGGCTTGAGTATCAAGGGGAGGAACCCTTGTGATTGAATCACAGCTGCTATTTCCAGTTGTGATTGAGTCAGCTTGTGGTTCTAATGACTCAACTTTATCTCCAGGCCACTTACATACTAAATGAAAGTCAAGAAAAAAAAATCTATCTCTGGAGTTTTCCCTCTGCCATCTCCTAGGTTAGTGTAAGCTCCACTTATGCTAACCGTGGTCTGTGTTAGAGCTGTGAGAAGACTAAAGACCCTTTTATTGAGCAGTATCCACCCTGCTCATAGGTAGGAGTTAACATGATTTAATCCCAGGTGGATCTCCGAGTTCAAGGCCAACCTGATCTACAGAACCAGTTCCAGGACAGCCAGGGCTACACAGAGAAACCCTGTTTCAAAAAATAAATTATGATTCCAAGCCTAATAATAAAGCCAGAACGATATTCTGCTTTTGTGGATCTAAGTCTGGGGCTCTTCCTACTAAGCCTAGCCTGTATTATTAGACGGGAAATGACGGTGACCTCTATTTAGGCCAGAAAACTCTGGCACAGGATATTACAAAGAGAGTTCTTGGGATGGTAAAATTGTACCGGGGAGATTTTCTGATGGCCCCCTTGTCTGGAAAGAATGTTCCTGTATCACTACTCCCCCAAATTTTGTAAAGAAATAGGACAAGAGGTATAATTAGGATAGTTCCAGACAATGATGAGTTATTAGGGTGATAATAACTGCCCCATCTGTCCTAGTTTCCTCTTCCCTGAGGAAGCCGATTAACAAGAACACTTCCTCTGTAGCGGTAGTTCATAGCTGTGTCTCAGGGTTTTTCCTGAACTATTAAACTTTTTCTAATCAAGCTGTGCTTTTAGTATTACTCAGCAGGTTTTACTTATGTGTTTATCTTATTTTTACCTTACCTTCTAGGATTCTATCTTTGACCATTTTCTCAGACTCCACCTCTACACCCAAAGTTGTGGACCTATTCTCCTAGTCAGTAATTGTCCCAGATCCCGTGGAAATAAAGACCTGGCTCTATGGCTACTGTAAGGACTCGGTAGTCTTACAAGAGGGAAGAGATCAGTTTTTCTGATTGTTTAGACTGCTCAACATAACGGTGACCATGGAGCTAGATCAGAAGCTGGGATGCCGGGGTTCCCTTGGTTCCTTTCATCAGTTGGAGCTTTCTTATTCTTAACCTAGGATCACTTTGTGTCTATCCCTAGTGTACCTACTTTCAAGGCTTAAAGAGGAAATTGTTCTGTTTTCTCTGTCTGCCATGTTCCCCTGGTTCTTAGGACATATGTAATGAATCAAAAGTCTAGTGGGTATAGAAATATTCTGAAACTATTGGATTGGATTTGACAGGGAATCTTAGAGGAAGCAGCAGATTAGGGCTTGCTGCCCTGGAACTCTTTGCTTCTGTGTTGCTGCAGGGCAGGTATTCAGAGTGTGGAGTCGGGAGTTGCTTCAGTTCACTTACTAGAGTTACATGGGCATGCACTTGTATATCGTACACTTGCAGAGTTGCAGTGAAGACATACTGGACCACCGCATGGCAGTGGCATCCTGGAGAACTGAGTGCTTCAGAAATGAGTGGAAAAGAAACGCATATGAGGACAGACTGAGAAGAAGAGTAGGAAAGGCACACATATCCTCATACTTCAGTTACTGAGGCAATGGGCTGTTTCCACAATCCAGCATCTAACTTGGTGAAGCCCCTGGGGTGTATGTAGGTCTCTTACACGTGCACACACATGTGATCTGTACCTAGATAGCCCCATATGCTGTCAGCAGGACTTTTACTGTTCTTTCTCCTCTTGGTAGACAACCCTTTGTGCCCTTGGGAGAAGGAGGAGGAGGAGGAGGAGACCTCTAAGTTGGTAATCTGTGGGTGGATTGTATGTTCCCTGCCCGACCTGTGGACAGCCTCTGCGTGTGTAAACAGTAGCTTTGGGTTGGCTCTGCCCTGAGACTGCCAGTCCTGGACAAGGCTTGGGCTCTCTTACCTGGTTTGGCTTCCACTTACCTAACGCTTTTTGCTGATCCACAGCATCGCTGTGTTTGGGGCCCTCTGGACTCTGCCTGCTCATGGCCCAGTCCTTCAGCCTTCAGCAGAGAGTGCTGTGCTTGTCACTGGTTCTTTCGGGCTGCTCACAACTTTCTCCACTTCGCTTTCCTAGGTCTCAGGAAGGGCTTTTGGATACTTTTTAAGATGGTCTCACTGGATAGCCCTGGCTTTCTAGAACACTATGTAGACTAGGTTGGCCCAGAACTCAGAGATCTGCCTGCTTCAGACTCCCAAGTGTTGAGAATCTACTGATGTTTCAGTGCATGTACAAACCCTTCTTTCTCTGCTGTGTAGCAGGGACTGTGGGTTTCTTCCTTCACCCGTCCCTGGTAGTGACTTTTTGTTGTTCTAGGTAGTGACAAACTTTTTGCTTATTTAAAATGTGTGTGTATGTGCGTTCATACCCGTGGCCATGGCTTGATACCATGCTCGGAGTCAGGTAGCTTTACTCCGTGAGCCATCTCACCAGCAAGGGATGCTTGTTCCCCTTCTCTAGTTGCTTATTTAGAAATTTTGAGACGGTCTCCCAGCTGACCAGTCTCTTAAGTGTGCAGGCCTTCAACTAAGAACCCAAGCACTGGGATCACAGCTTTGAGCCACCACGCCACTTTTTCCTGTTAGTCTACCGTCTGTCTCTGTGGGTTTTTCCTATGTTGAGCATTCACAGGAACTGATATGTAGTATTTTATGGTTGAGTTTTAAAGCCTCGGGTTGCTCAGTATATATGCAGCCTATGCAGCCTGCTTCAAAGGGCATGAAACTAGGTGGCCATCATGTGATGGGCATGGTCCCAAGAAACTGTTGTCCTGTTGAGGATACTGGGGTCCCAAGTATGGATTTATAAATGAGCAGGGGAGACTTTGGCTGCAGTTCCTTTCTAACATTTCCCTCTTGGTCTTCCGTGGCCTTTTCTGGCATACATTTGATTATTTTAGCTCTCAGTGTGTGCATGCACACATGTGTTACACCTTGAAGAGGTGGGAAGGAGCCAGGCATGTGGACCTAGGTTGTTGGAGAAATGCATGGGAGCGTGTGCGCATGTGATAACAGGAAGTGACTGGACCCTTGCAAGAAACCCTCACAAGCCTGCCTCTTGCTAGAACAAGCCCCCTGAAGCAGCCTTATAGTTCATAAGCTTTCTGTGGAGTGCCTAGAAAAATAATAATACTGTGTACTAAGCTTCAACATATTTAATTCCAACCAGCCTAAATGAGAAGTGGACTTTGAGTACTGTTTCTCTTGTTACATGACATAGCCAACACTCAAACCCAGTTTTTTTGGATGTATTTTTATTTTTATGCGGGTAAGTGTTTTGCATACATTTACGTATATGTAGCCCATGTATACCTGGTGCCCATGGAGGCCAGAAAAGGGCATTGGGTCCCCTGGAACTGGTTACAGATGGTAGTGAGTTGCCATACAGGTGCTGGGCCATTTCCCCGACCCTGTTCTGTCTAGCTGTATGCAAACCTTCATGCTTGTCCCAGAGGTGTATTTTACGTTGAATCTCTGTTCTGCCTTCCATAAAGACCTGTGAAACAGTCAAGGCAGCCATCATTGCATGGCTTCTGGCTGAACAGCTGCTATAAAGTTGTAAAGCGATTAGAAACTAGGTCTTCTCTAGACAGGATCTCATGTCTTCTCTTGCAGTCAACAGGAAAGCTGGGTGTGCAGTCACATCTCTGCTAGCCTCGGAGCTGACCAAGGATGATGCCATGGCTGCTGGTCCTACTAAGGTGCCCAAGAAAAGTGAAGGAGTCCCCACAATCCTTGAGGAAGCCAAGGAGCTGGTTGGCCGTGCAAGCTAAGCTGGGCTCTACGGCCATTGCTGCTCCTAAGCGAAGCCCAGACTATCGACCTGCGGCATGTGCCTAAATGGTCATGCAGTGGCCACTCCACCACCTGACCCTGTCTTTCTGTCTGGCCTGCTGCTCTCTGAACATCACATACAGCTTCAGCTGCCTGGAGGCCAGAAGGAAAGGGCAGTGTAGGGATGGCCTGAGCCCAGCCCAGCCACCCCTGGCTGTGGTATTACCAAAGCAGGGTCCGTGTTTGCTGCCTTAACCCTGTCTCCTTCATGTTATCCAGCGGTCCTGGTCTCAGACGAAACCCAGCCTGCTTTCTCAGCCCCACTTTCCAGTGGGCTCCCCTAGGTCAATCTTGCTGGCTTTGCGCTTCTCTTTTGCGGTTTCTCTGGCCCTGAGAATAGCATGGGACGTAGGAACCTTTGGGCTAGATCGTTTTACTGCTGTCACCTCTGCTTTCCTCCTGGCAGTTATTTATTACGCGTGCTGTGGCATTGGGAGCTGTTTCTGCAAAAGCAGGAAGCAAATCCCACCCTTACCCACTTTCCTGGGCGGTCTCCAGGCAAAGGGTCTCAACCACTCTCCCCGTTGCACTGTGGCTCCGGGCTGAGCCAGAGGCAGGTAGTAGGGCAAAGTGGCAGTGTGGGGCCCGCCCCCTGCCCGCTGCCGTGCTTTGTGCCCTTGCCTCCCTGGACTCTGCACTGCCCCCCTCCGCCCTGCAGCTGAGCCCCTCTACCCCATGCCTTCCCCGAAGCTGTAGTGTGACCAGCCCAACACCTCACCCCCTCCATCCAAGGAAATGGGAGGTGGAGCCTCCTGGCTAAGAAATTGTTTTGCAAATGGATCTATTTTTATATGAAAAAAATTTTTAAGAAAAATAACTTTGGTCCCCTTCCATAATAAAAGAGGCTTTGATGGTAGGTTCGAGCATTCCTGGAGTCAGTCCTGAACATGGCCTAGGTGTTGGCCCCGTTCCTCAAGACTAAAGCCTAAGGCCAAGGCAGACCTTCCCTAGCATCAGTTCCGGTTGGGCTGGGCCACACCATAAGGTAGCAAGAGCTCCCATCCCGTGTTTTCATGAATGTATAAATTATCAAGCCAAACAGTTCTAAGTGAGTGCTGAGAAGTGGACACAGGGTGTAGTTCCTCCCCGCCCCCCAAGCAACGAGTCAGACTGCATGGCCCAGACCTCAGGAGCTCAGATCTCTGGCTCAGGGTCTCTCTTGTCCTCCTTGCCCTTCCGGGCTACAGAGAAGGAATGATACTGCCGGGGCTTGACACAGAGTTAGAGTTGCCGGAGCATGGGGTGCAAGGGGCACCAGTACAGGAGCCCTGCGGCCAGGGTGGACGGTTTGCGTTGCTAGAGCTTGTGTCTGAAGGAGCAGTGGCAGCTCCAGGGCAGCCCCCTGTGAAGACTGCAGGGTCGGGTCTTCCCTGAGCCTCTTCATGAGCTGACATCTGGGGTTTTGACCCTTTTCTTTTTTAATCACTTTTGCTAAAATGCATTTAATTAAAAGTTTTTTAAGTAGAGGGGACAAAATGCAAGCCCCCTGCCTCTTGGGCTTCTGGGATGTCATCACCTCCAGTTTGATGGGTTTGTTTTCAACTGTCAATAAAGCATTGAAACAGAGCCTCCCTCCAGCCTCCTTTGTAAAACTCTGGACTGGTTCTCTTCACTGCAGTGGTCTAGGCTTCTCTTCAGTGGCTTCCCACTATTGGTGACCTGACACATCAGTCAGAAGCTAACCAGAGTGGCAGACTGCACTTGGGCATGGTGAATGCCTGTGGTTTCTGCGTGCCAGGGCCCCTTTCAGGGCTGTTTTCCTCTGCTTCCTTCTGACTTCTTGCCACACTGTGACCCTTTTGATTGGAGTCCTAATTTTTACCTCATGCTAGGTGCCAGTTTTCTGACCAGTACCCATGGCCTCGCCAAGTTAGAGGGGCTCAACCCTGAGACTGGGATCCTGTGTCTGCCCAGCCTGGGTCAGAAGCTCCAGGCCAAACACTAGAGGACTTGCCACTAAGCTATGCTCCAGCAAGTTGGTAAACCCAACAGAGACATCGTACAGTGAGCAGACCGAAGACAGTCAGTGTGCCCTCGGACAGCCCTTTAGAAATACAAACCTTCTAAATAGCCCCTGGGCCTGCGTAGCTGCCACCCTCACGTGGCAGTGGCTGGAGGTGGGGGTGGCTACCTGCCTCAGCCCTAGAGGCTGCTGCTCCTCTCACCTCTTGGGGCCCCCCCACCAACCACAGCTGCTCACCGTCTTGCCGTCTCCTGCCTTACCTGGAATAGAACCCAGGCACTCCACCCCAACACCGGGCTCTGAGAAAACCCTGCTCTCAGCAGCCTCACACACCACCCCCTTCCCACGCAAAGTCAAAGTCGTCTGGAAGGTTTGGTTTCCATGGCAATAGAACAGGAGGCGGCAGAACTGGTAACCAGAATCCAAGGGAGGAAGCCCAGAAAATACTCTTCGGGCTCTTTTTTTTTTTTTTTTTTTTTCGAGACAAGGTTTTTCTGTATTGTTTTGGAGGCTGTCCTGGAACTCACTCTGTAGACCAGGCTGGCCTCGAACTCACAGAGATCCGCCTGCCTCTGCCTCCCGAGTGCTGGGATTAAAGGCGTGCGCCACCAACGCCCGGCCTTCGTGCTCCTTCGATGGACTTGCCTGACCCTCCTGAAAATCCGCGGGTCTGTTTCTTCGGTTCTCTATGTCAACCTTCCCGCACCTGCCAGGAGCTGCAGCAACCCCTGAATCGGATTAGCGTGTTGGAAAGGGGGAGGGGCAGAGAAGAGGGAGGTGGGGACCGGGTTTCAGGGCCATCTCGTGCTGTTAGTTCCTTTGACTCCCTCAAGATAGGGATGGGCCCTCCAGTTAGGCTTTGCTGCGTAAAAACAATGGGTAGGCATTGTCCAGACAGAAACTGAGGCCCAAGGTAGGGACTCAAATCTTTAGAGAATTGCCTCCTGGGCCTTGTCGCCCACAGTTTTTCTCAAACCTCTTGGCTGCTGCAGTGGAGGAGGGTAAGCAAAGGAGAACCCGCCCTCCTCTGGATCAGCTCCTCCGTGGCAGTAGGGAGGTTGCTAGTGGGGAAGGGGCGGAGACTACAGAAAAGTCCCCAGCGCCCTGCCGGCAGCATTTGAGTCCCCGCCCCAACTCTTGCTCCCCCCTCCCACACAGGGTCTCCTTTTCTGCCTAGAGACAGCTGAGCATCAATCTGTGCTCTCTTGCACATGCGCTCAAATTCCCCACCCCCACACTGGACTCTCCAGCGACAGCACCGCATGCAGACCCACAAGCACTGTTTACTTGAGACACCAGGATATCGGAGGCATGCGCCACACTGGGCAGTCATGAGGATTGCGCACTCACGCAATTAGTGACACAAACAACTGTGACCCTTTATTCTGTTATTCAGCGCAAACCCCTCGACATGTCGTGTGCTCCATTTCATAAACAGACACAGTGAGCCTTTCAGAAGAAACCTTTTTATTTTTAATTTTCGAAGAAAAAAGCCATATAAATATTAGAGTATAAAACTTGCGAGAGAGATCAGAAGGGGGATGGGCAGGAGCTACGTGACTATGCGAAGAGAAGCTTTTATAGAAGAGTCAGTACAGGGAGGGGTCGCCGCGGCGTTGTGGACACAGCACGAAACACAGCACGGGCCGCGCAGGCAGATTGAGATTAAAGGACAGACGGCACCGCCCGCTGCCCGCTCGCCATCACGGAAAAGCACACCACACTACACTATTGGCCATTCTACGCCAGCCGAGGGAAGGGGCTTCTACACTACTGTAAGGGCCGGGGCGGGCAGAGGAAGTTCTATGCACAAGGAGGCACTGGGGGGCTTTAACCAGTCTCTGGCCACGGAGGAGCGGCCTGGGGACCTGGGCAGTGGCCTTCTGAGAAGAAATGGCACCTGGTAAGGTGGAGGCCAGGGGCTTGAGGACTACAGGGGCCCCGTGGAGAAGCCCCATCATTGGCTTGAGACTTTGCAGCCACTCGGTCCCTTGCTCTAGCTCCTTGGCTCAACCCAGCAAGAATGGCTGCTAGGACCACCGACCCTTCCTTCCAGCAGGTACCTCTGGAGTACCCAGCACCCACAGAGGCCCCTCTTCCTCTCTGGTTCTAAATCCACTTAGACGCCTTCTTGGGCTGAAATGCCATCTTATATCTATTGGTCCTGGTGGCTCTGTCCAAGCTGCCCAGGCTGAACCAGGGTGGAGGGGTCTGGCCTGGTGTTTGTCTATGGCTAGAATTGGGGGGTTGGGCCAGTACCCTGGGTACCCACAGAGCCCCTCGCAAGACCCTGCCTCCTCCCATCAGTGCACACTCAGCTCCCCTTAAGCTTACCACCCCCTACTGTCTCCAGACATGCAAAGGAGTCTCTTCTTTGAGGAGTAGGGAAGTCACAGCATGCAATGGGAACATCAAACAATGAAAAACAAAAGACTGGTCCCCAGGCAGAGAAAAGAGACTGGGTAGCAAAATGCCTTCCCAAAAATCCAGCAAGTGTCAGTACCAGGGGGATGGTGACTGTGCCCCCCAAACTTAAGCATTGGTCTCAGGCTCTAGAAGGAATGAGAAGACCAAACCATGCGTTGGGGGGGAGGCTGAACTGATGGAGAGGTCAAAAGGTTATAATACTCACCCAACTCTCCAGAACTAGGAGCCTGCTTAGGTCGCCTGCCCCCTCAACAGCCAACCACCTTGCTCAAGAGAGGGACTGAAGGGGAGGGTGGGGGCGGGGAGAGGGAAGCAGATGGATGAGCCTGACTGAGTTGGAAGGTGGAGTTCAGCCGTAACTAAGGGAGTGTGGCATGGTTTTTTTGTGTCCACGCTAACCCTACTACCCTTGTGGGTACAATCAGTGGATAGGGGTTCCCAGCAGAACTCTCTTTGCATATTCAACCCCCTAGGGCACAGAGAGGGGGCATTGACTCGGGCACTTGTTTCTGTTTCCCAAGGGGAGAGAGCATGGCCTTGGCTCCGAACAGTATTCTGGGATGAGCCCTGCAATTCTGAGGCCTGGGTACAACAAGTAAGGACAAGCTGGACGGGCTGGGGAGGGAGGCTGCCCTGTGGCTCAAGGCCTGGCCTCCCTTTACTTCTTCTCTTTCTTGCCTGACTTCTTCTTGTTGCCGTTACCGCCTGCTGGAGCCTTGCCGTCTCGCTTGCCAGCTGCATTGGTCAGCGTGGCATTGCTGCCAGGGATGTACACATTCTGGCGGTAGTCAGGCACATGCTGCAGGGTGAACTGGGGTCCATATCGAGCGCTCAAACCCATGGTGCCAGCGCCCCCTCCCAGAGTGGAGCTCCCATCAGCAGCTTCTGCAGAGACAGGGAGAGCAAACGGTCAGATGGGGCCAGTGACTCGACTCCCTCACATAGTGGTCAGTGAATGCCCATAGGCACCCTAGGACCCAACCACCAAGGCCGGCAAGGAGTGAGAAAGGCAGGTTTGTTCCCAGCTCGCTCTCTTCCCATGATCGTCAGCAAGCTGGCCCAGCCTCCCTATGCCATCTCTTTCCTAACCCATAAGATGAAGGCAATGTAGAGATCCACTTTGGGTGAGAATTAAAGAGGATGCTTCCAAATGCCCAGAGTGCCTTGGTGTGTGGTAAGTGCTCAAAGCGTTTTTCTCCGGCTTCAAGCACTTGACCCTGGCTTCCAAGAGACTGCTTTGTGCGCTATCCTTCCCTGACCCAGGCTGGCACTGCACAGCACATGCGCTCACACCATTAGTGCGTATTCAGGGTGTTCTCACATTTGTATTTGTACATATGTCTGTCTGTGTGCTGCTGGGAATTGAACACATGTCTTTGCACGTGCTAGGCAAACACTCCCCAAGCTGAACTACGTACCCACCTCTGTGTGTGTGTGTGTGTGTCTCTCTCTCTCTCTCTCTCTCTCTCTCTCTCTCTCTCTCTCTCTCTCTCTCTCTCTCTCTCTCTCTCTCTCTCTCTCTCTCTGTGTCTCTGTCTCTGTGTGTGTGTGTGTGAGAGAGGGGGGGGGTTTCTTTGTGTAGCCCTGGCTGTCCTGGAATTTTGTTAACCAGGCTGGCCTTGAACACATTGTTCTGCCTGCCTTTGCCTCCAAAGTGCTGGATTTAAAGGTGTGTGCCACCACTGCCAGGAGGCAGTTAGTTCTTCTTGTTGTTTAAGATATGGGCAGGCGGTGGTGGGGCACACCATTAATCCCACCACTCAGGAGGCAAAGGCAGAAGGATCTCTGAGTTCGAGGCCAGCCTGGTCTACAGAGAAAGTTCCAAGACAGCCAGGACTACACAGAGAAAACCCTGTCTTCAAAAACAAAAAGACAGGGTCTCACTGTGTAGCACTGGGCTGGCCTGGAACTATTTAGACCAGGCCTGCCTCTGCCTCCTGAGTGCTGAGCACGCCAGCCTAACAGAAGTGTTCCTTTCGTGTTCTGTCCCCTGCTACTCTCAACCCCAGTGCCCCGCATCCGACTGTGGACCTTGCACTTCTCTTTTGTTTTGGAGAAAAACGTCTTGCCCGCTGGAACCTGACCATGGGATATAGTGGTCACCAAGGCAGCCTCCTTGCATAAGGAGCTGGGGGGAAATCAAGAGTGGGTAGCTCAAACTAGCAATCCTCCAGTC